TGGGGACGGGGAGTCCTGCTCTGTCCTCCTCCAACCCCCCCTGTGGTCTGGACACGGTGCTGTGGAGCCTCAGCCTGAGCCTCTGCGCTGGGCCAGCTCCCCACACCTTGCTCCTCGAGGCTGAGCATGGGGAAACGTGCTGGAAGTACTTCCCCCCCAATGCCAGCTCCTGCAGTTTCATTCAGTATCCCCTCCATCCCTGCTGTTCCTTGCCAGGTCACTGTCTCCACTTGCAGAGTGGCTTGGCAGTTCATGATGGGGAAATTAGGATCAGGTGCTCTTGCACTGAGTCAGGTACTTTATTTCATGCCTGGCTTGTGTTGGCTGGAAGTGAAGGGGAGGGGGAGCTGCCTTTGTTTCAGGCAAGGGAGCAGATGCATGTCAGTGTACAGCCGGCTGAGGCTGCACACAGGCAGCAAAAACACATGTGCACACAAGCACATGGACTCACTCCCAGCCAGACACATGCTGTGCAAAGGAGCTCTTCTCCTCAGCTGTCCCACTTCCCACTGGACGAGTCCTCCTGGGCGCAGCATTTTTCCCAGCCCATTCTCTGCTGGTGTCTGCCTTGCCAGCAGCTTATGTGGAGGTGCATCTCATTCTTGGTGTATCTCTGGGGAATAACGGATAGGTCTTCCAGACTGGCTCTGGGCTACTGAGGCAATGGTAGGGTGAAGTTACAGCTGGTCTCTAGAGACCAAGTGTCCCTTGTCTCTACTGTGTCAAGGAAGTGGCTGCTGCTCTGCAGCCATGGCTCCTGGATATCAAGCTGTCAGACAGTTGGGCAGGGGGAGGTGGCCCCAGTGGGTGCGTGGGCTTGCAGGAAGTGTTTTGCAGACATGGGACTGTGCACAGCCACAAGTGCCCATGCACGTGGGTGTGCACGCCTCCACTTTGCTGTGCACGCAGAGAGCACCCACGTGTGCATATGTGCACGCATATGTGCACCATTCCTCCTCCGCAAACCACGGGAGAGCTGGGAGCTCTGCAGGAAGTGCACTGCTCACTCCTTCTCATAGCTCTAGGCTGGGACTCTGCGGTTTATGATGGGCTCCATGCTGAGTCTCCTCAGCAGAAAGAGAAGGGGGGAATTTGTGTCTCTGTGGGAACTGCTGGTTTTGGGACATGTCCATAGTCTGTGTGGCTGGGCCTGGTCTGGGAGGGGTGCTGGAACCCTACAGTCCCTCCTTCCACTCAGTTCCTTGGGTCTCCTCCCCAGATGGGCTCTTTGTGACTGACTACTTCACTCGCACACCGCGCAAGCTCAGCCCCTTCCGCTCCTTTGCCAGCATTGAGCTCTTCCACTTCCACATCCCTGAGGACACAGTCATTGCTGTCTGGAACCTCATCACCTTCAAGGAGCAGGGTGGCACATTTGGGGACCAATGCCCAGACCGTAGCATCACCGTGTGAGTACACAGCCTGCCCTGCCTGTTTCCCTCCTGCCTGCCTCTGCCGGCCTGTGCTGCCCCCTACCTGGACTTGCTCTGGAGCTTCTTCTGTGCTTCTTGCTTGTATGTGTGCACATGTACCTATATGCTTTTGCTGCAGATATACAGAGGTGCACTCCTGTGTGCACATGCACGTGCAGGCATACAGGTATGTGCAGATGCATGCAGACACGCCTGTATGTGCATACATGGGCACACACACACACACACACGTGCACACTCACTCCCTGCAATCCGTCTCCTCAGGACCGTTGCAGGCTCTGCTCCTTTGTGCATCTCACACACAAACAGTTTGGCTTGCACACCTGCCTGTGGAAGCTCACCGCCCCCCGC